TCGCTTGGAAAAACAAAAGAGGCTGGAGAGGATCCCTTCATCGCAGCCCTGGTGAGTGCGGATGGAGTGGAGGAGGAGAAAAGACTCTTGCAAACAGGTGTTGCCAGTCTGACACGGGTGTTGCGTGTGAATGCAATGGTGGTGGGGGGGAAATGCGTGGCTGGATGGGGAAAGGGATTGTGCCTTGGCCATGGCAAAGCTCCCTCGGAAGGGAAGGGAGAGGCGGATATGGAGTGGAAACAGCATTGTGGAGTCCCTGGGTACTTTGTATTCTTTCAAGGCCGGCTGCATCCTCACAAAGCGGTGTCAAACCGGATTGTCTCTGCAGTGAGGAAGCCAGCCAGGATTCTTCAAAGGCTTTGGAGTCAGGCTCGTGTGGCAAATGTGTATCCAAAGGGAGTAATAGTACAGAGAGTAGCAGCAACCTCAAGCTCCTTCCTTCTCTCTCTTTCAGTGAGTCTCAAAGGTGCCATTATTATGAGAGTCCTTTTAAATGAAGAGGATTCTTGTTTTGCTTGGCTTTTTATGTTGCAGTGCTCTGCAAAAGGGAATCACCTTGGAGTGGAGGTGCCACAGTGGGATTTACTCCTGAGTACATGCCCAAAGGATCACCCTCTTTATTATATATCTAAAGAGAGAGGTGTGATTAACTGCCATTTTGTATTCGCCCTGAGAAGGTTTCATTTGCTGGGATATGGCCTGGGTTTGGAAATCCAGCCCAGCTGATGCTCCACATTCTTCCCTGCTCTCCCCCAGATCTCTCCTATAGCCTCTTCCCTTCTCTTTCCTTCCTCCATTCTCTTCTCTTCTCTCTTTCTTAAGTTCCCCAGTACACCAGTGTGTATTTTCTCCTCCATGCCTTCCTTCCATTTTGCATTTGCTGGAATACAGGCCTCAAAGAGATGTCACCTGGAGAAGGCTTTGCGCAGAGGAACGCCTGAAATCTATGGTTTCTTCAGACGAGCATTTATCTGGCGTGCTCTTAACAATATCTCTGGCTGGTGCCCGGCAGATTGTGGAGTGCCAACCATGACTTCATCTCTCTTTTGTGTGTGTTTTTAATCGTAACCCAAAATAATTGCTCCCTTGCTCTTAACAGAGTGCTGGGAAGGACAGTGTAACGCAGGTGTGGCATGTTGATCTTGTTCTGGGGAGAAATGGTTAGTGATGTTGACATCATCTGTTCCTATTAGTTCAGAGACATAGCTGGGAACCTTTGCAGTCAGATTTTATCACAACAGGTAGGATAGGGAGAATGTTAGGATATATAGAGACCAGCGTGGTGTAGTGGTTTGAGCATTGGGTTATGACTCTGAAGAGCAGGGTTCAAATCCCTGTTCAAGCAAAAACAAAACAAAACACTGGTTGACCCTGCACAAGTCACAGTTTCTCAGCCTCAGAGGATGGCAATGGCAGAACCCCTCTAAAGAAACTTGCCAAGAAAATCCTATGATAGGTTTGCCTTAGGGTTGTCATAAGTCATAAATGACTTGGAAGCACACAACAACAACAACAACAACAACAACAATAACATGGAATAAATAAGGTTCAGGAGAACCTCACTGACTAAGGGTTGAATGTCAAGTGTTTTTTTCCATCCCTGCGTGGGACTGACTGCACTGTAAATATCTGATTAAGGAACATGAGAATGGAAAATAAGTCCCCTGGCCCCTGGCAAAAAAAAATATACCAGGCTACAAATATCACCATCATGGCAAGTGGTGATGGGAGTTGTAGTCCAGGACATCTTGAAAGTACCAATGTGGGGAAGGCCACTCACAGGCCTATGGGTCATTCCAGTTGTTTTCTTTTCCTGTGAATGTTATTTTAAATACCACTTAAATCTTCTGTTGCTTTTATAAATTTATACAGTGGTTGCCCAGGGGCTGCTGAGAGAGATGACCAAGCTTTTTGTTTACAGGGAGGCCCAAGTTTTTTGTTTTGTTGGTTACCTGTCTATTTTCATCAAAGTTCTGGTTGGTATCTCCAAGGTCCTATCCGAAAAAAACCAGGATATCTGAAGGGCTATATTTCACCATATAAGCCTTCCTGTGTTTTAAGATCCTCGGGGGAACCCTCTTTTTGCCCCCACCACTCTCACAGCCTGCTCATAGGTATAGAGTTGGAAGAGATCTCAAAGGCCATCCAATGCAACCCCCCTGCCATGCAGGAAATCACAATCAAAGTACTCCTGAGAGATGGCTATCCAGCCTTTGTTTAAGAACCTCCCAAGAAGGAGACTCCACCACATTACAAGGCAGCATGTTCCACAAAGCTCTTATTGTCAGGAAGTCCTTCTAATGTTTAGATTGAATCTCTTTTCCTGTAGTTTGCATCCATTGCTTTCTGTCCTGGTCTCTGGAGCAGCATAAAACAAGCTTGCTCCATCCTCAATATGACATCCCTTCAAAGTACAGTGGTCCCTCATGTTTGCTGGAGTTGGGTGCACAAGACCCCCATGAAAGTGGAAAAAATGCAAATAAAAAACACTTTTTTTTGTTTTGCCTGAGAGAATACCTCTAGGAATCTCTAGGTCCTCCAGTGCAACTCTGTGGTCAACATCTGCCAGAAGGTGACCATAGAATCATGCCCAGAGAAGTATTTTTTTCTAGTAATCTCTAGGTCCTACAGCACAACTGTATGGTCAACTTCCATAGAGTTGCATTGAAAGGCAGAACTGGAGCCCTAAGTCTCCAATTTTCATGAATAATTTTCAGGCAGGAGACAAAGGTAGAATATATATATATACTACAGTTGTGGGAAGTTCACCTCCCAGAATGAGGAAAGAACTATGTTCAAATGTCCAGCTCAGGTAATAGAGCAGTAGCTTGATACTGTTAGCAAGGGTAAACTGATTTGTTGTTGCAACTTGCAGAGCCTTTCCAAGGGCTATATCTATTTACTTAGTTGCCTTCCTCCTTATGGCAACAGGACTCACCCTCTGCTCTGCATCCCACTTCTGGTTGGGAGCAAGTAGGATAGATTAAATGTTCCTTATCCCATCTTCCTAATAAATGAGAAGGAATAATCCCTGCATTTCATCTTGGAACAGCCCCTTTAGCTATGATTTCTGTCTTCATCTCCAAACAGGAAAGAGTATGTGTGTGTATCTGTGTCTTTGAATTTGATTGCGATGCTGTGAGTCACTGTGGTTGATATTAAATGCATATAATGACATCATCAGGGGGCCATCCATTGGTCTCAGACTTTGGCCTGGAAACCTCAGGGCCTGGGACAATCCCGAACTGGCAACCCCTACCACAGTAACTTCTCTAGCAGTTTGATAACCTGACCCTCCCTTGGCTGGTAGTCAGAAAAAAGTTAAGTGTGTGTTCCCATGTCTCTTGGTGACCCTGCTTTATTAGCACAATATTATCAAGTTGCTATTAGGAATGATTAATACTGAAAAGGTGTAACCCAGTCCTGTGCATATTTACTCAGAAAGAAATGCTACTGTGCTCAGTAGGACTCGTTCCCAAATATATTTGTAGAGCGCATATATATATATATATATATATATATATATATATAGTCCAAAACAACCAGGTTCCCCATACCAAAAGTGTAGATGATTTCAACTTTTTTGATTTCTATGTTGAGTTTGTCTCATCACTGAAACAAAATGCAGAGTAAGGCAGTAGCTTTCATTTGGGCCAAGAGCATTACGGAGTGGCACAGAGTTGGTGTAAATGTACAGGTTCTCCTATAACTTTATACATCAGATGATGGCAAAAGGTAGACAGTGGAGAAGAAGCAAGTCAGAAAATCTTACCAGATTTGTTTTTTCTGAATCTCTTGCTGTTCTCTCTGAAGTTCCAAGATGATGACAGGCAGCCTCTGTGAAAAGGAAAGGTATATACACAGAGTTGTTTGGTTGGTATGTGTCATATTTGAGGGCCTGAAAAATATTTTGTACTAGAATGGCCAATAGTAAGTAACTCAAAGGCTCCAGTGGGGCGTTGTTGGTACTATACTTGGGGACATGGAAGGTGCGTCTCAGCTTTTTAAAACCTCTCTGTATGTGTTACTTGCCTTCATGTTGTTTCTGACTTAAGACGAACCTAAGGTGAACCTATCATGGGGGTTTCTTTGGCAGAGTTTGTTCAGAGAAGGTTTGCCATTGCCTTCCCCTGAGGCTGAGATAGTGTGACTTGCTTAAGGTCACCCAGTAGGTTTCATGGCTGAGCTGGGAATCAAACCCTTGACTCTTGTGTTGTAGTCCAACACTCAAACCACTAGGCCACACTGGCTTTCTTTTAAGAAATACAGGCCTTTTTTCAAATGAGGTGGGCATCGGGTCAATTCTAAAACAAGAAATGGAAAAATCACTCCCTTCCAATTTAGAAAAGTTTAAAGACAAAAGAAAGAAAGTGATTTGTAACAGGCAAGACTTTGCCCACTCCTTCATAAAAGTGAAGCCGGCCCTCCATATTGATGGATTCTTTATCCATGGATTCAAGCATCCATGGATTGAAAATATTCAATATATATACATTCGTCCTTCCACATTTGCAGCTTTGACTTTTGCAGATATGATTCTTCACAGATTGTATTAGTCGCCCCTCCCAATTCGTGGGGGATTCTTTCCAGGGGGCCCTGCAAATTGGGAAAATTGCCAATATTGGAGCCCCATTGATTCCAATGGGGGCACACTCTTGTGCGCAGCATGGGGTGTGTGTCTTGGGCGCATGCACCATTTTGTCCCTCACGGCTTGCTGTCTGCAAAGGAGCAAGAGACGCAAATGGCAAGACTGCAAACGGCCAGAGATGAGTGTAGTATGTTCTCTCTAGGAATATCTAGGTCCTCCAGCGCAACTCTGTGGTCAACTTTAACCAAAAGTTGCACTGAAGGACGGAAAGATTCCTAGTGAGAAGACTCTGCTAGACATTTGCAGCTCCTCCAGCGCAATTCTATGGTTGATGTATGGCAGATGTTGACCACAGAGTTGCACTGGAGGACCTAGAGATTCCTAGAGAGGTGTTCTCTCAGGTAAAAACATAGTGTTTTTGTCACTTGCAGTTTTTCCACATTCACAGGGGTCCTGTGCCCCTAACCCCACCGAATGTAGAGGGACGAGTGTAAATTCCAAAAAGCAATCCATGATTTTGCCGTTTTATATAAGGGACATCATTTTACTGTATACAATAGGACTTGAGCATCCATGGATTTTGGTATCCACAGGGGCGTCCTGGAACCAAACCCCAGTGGATACCAAGGGCCTAGTGTACCAGTTTCCATCTTGCAGGAATACACAGTTGATGGGTTGTCCCCATGCTCCAAAAACTAAAAAGGCTGGTTCAGTCCAAGCAACTGAACATTACCTATTTTGAAGCAAAGAGAAGCATGATGACTTAATAGTAGGCCGCTGAGAACTATCAGAGTTTCTTTGGGCCTGAACAGACTGCTAGAAATAATCCATTTTGGGACCACTTTAACTGCCCTGGCTCGGTGCTAGGGAATCATGGGAACTGTAGTTTATTGTGGCACCAGAGCTCTCTTGACAGAGAAGGCTCAATGTCTCAGAAAAAAACTACAATTCCCATGATTCCCTAGCATTGAGCCAGGACAGTTAAAGTGGTCTCAAGCTGGATTATTCCTGGCAGTATGCTCAGGCCCTTTCTTACACTCTAATGGTGCTCCTCTTCCACCATTACTGCCCTGTCTGCCTCCTGTTGCATTCTGAGGCTTGTAGTTTAGTGAGGCCTAACAGCTCCCTGGCTGAGAATTCTAATATGCTGCTCCTTAAACTGCAAATCCCAGAATGCAACAGGAGGCTGCCAGAGCAGTTAAAATGGAAAAGCACTGTAAGAGTGTAGTGAGGTAATGCGGTCTGTGTCAGCTGAGCTGGAGATAACTAAGGGCCTTTACAGACTGGCAGAAATAATGCAGCTTGAGTCCACTTTAACTGTCCTGGCTCAGTGTTAGGGAATCATGGGAATAATAATAATAATAATAAATGAGCTTGTCCCAAAACATATACTGTATATGCAATACAGCAGCACCCACAAATATTTTATATAGACAATACAGTATATATGTGTGTGTGTGTATAGACATACATTATATACACAATACAGTGGCCCCCAACA